AGCCACATTGGAATGTAAATCTAATCTCAGTAGTTCTTATACTATGGCCAGATTGAAATTTGATTATAATCTCAACAGGTCTAATACTAGCCTGATCGGAATGTAATTCTTATCTCAAAAGTTTAATTAATACTATCCAGATTGGAATGTAAATCTAATCTCAGTAGAACTTATACTATAGGCAGATTGGAATTTGAGTATAAACTCAACAGTTCTTATAGTAGCCAGATTGGAATTTGATTATAATCTCAACAGTTCTTATACTAGCCAGATTAGAATGGAATTTAATTCTAATCTCAGTAGTTCTTATACTAACCAGATTGCAATTTGAATCTAATCTTAACAGTTGTAATATCCTAACCAGACTGAAATTTGGTTGTAATCTCAACAGTAATTATACTAGCCAGATTGGAATGTAAATCTAATCCATAGAAATAATAGACATAGAATGCGTGCTCCTATCTCTTCTCAGTAAAAATTTTGTCTCCACAAAATGGCGGATTTATAAGGGCATTTTGGCTAGTCCCAGACTCCTGTGGCGTGGAAATTCCACTGAGCTATACTATATTACTGGAGGACCTGCTCGGGATAAAAAAGTGTCGCCAAAAACATGGCGGATCTGACGCCATTGCCATGACTACTGGTCCCTAAATTCATGGCAACTACCACTGTCCCAACCGCGATCCTAAGCTTTCGACGATGTACTTCACCCCCCTGGTTTGAGCCTAAAAAATTTGTTTTTGAGAAGAAAATCTCACTGAAAATCGTGATATTTTTCTTCCAATTTGCTTGATTTACAACGGATACTGTATTTTTACGCCGCTCGTATGTGTGAGAATTCTCCTCCAAACAAGAACGAGAAGAATATATTTTTATTCACCGGTAAGATTTTATACAGTTATTTGAATATTTCTAGATTCTAGCTTGCTGTGTCTGCTTGCTTTTATATTAAACTCGACAGAAAAAAATTTAAGAAATGTACGAAGCACAAACCACAGGAAAATGGTTGGGAATCCTGTAAACCCCATTGATTTTAATACCACTAGTCTCTGTGTTTTCATAGCCATGGGGTTTTAAAACCTGGTTATAATGTCAAAATCCTCACTGTGCACTTACTGTATATTTATTTTATAGCACTACAGGCTTTTATAGTATTATAGAGATATAAACAAATTTTCCCTGACAAACTTTGAGTGATATATATAGCCTTGCCAGCGGTTCTTGTAGCAGTTATATATAATGACTGTGTATAGTTACATTATTTATCACTTCTACGACTACAACAGGCAGGTGAAAATTAAATTGTTTTACTGAATATGCTGGGCCAATTAAAGGCCATTAAAGATATCAAGTTCAAACCATTCAAATGATTCAATACCCATTGCAATCCAGCAATGACCATAAACCTAAGCCCCAATGACAGACCCCAAATATAAGCCCTCCTGTGTAGAATTGCACCACAAGAAATTCTGAATATAAAGCCCTCTCCCAGATTTAACCCATTAATCGCCAGCGCTCTCCCCTTGACGAGTAAAATCGTCTGGCGTTAGACAGGGTAAAAATACTAAAGTAGGTTGCATCGGGGTGCAATGCAACTCAATGGGTTAACTAGGCACATGCGCAGATAGGCCAGTTAACCCATTAAGCGCCAGCACTCTCCCCTTGACGAGTAAAATTGTCTGGCATTAGACAAAGTAAAATACCAAAGTAGGGTGCATCGGGGTGCAATGCAAACTCAATGGGTTAAATCCCTCTGTGTGAGCCCATAAACTTATTTTTGGACAGGTATTTTTTAATGCAGCGAAGGGGATTCCAACAGCTCAGCCCATCAAAAATGCTATTGAATGAATATAAGCATTGGGTCGTTCCAGAAAAGATCCACACTCCCCACACAGAGGAAATTTCTGCCGTCCGGAGGGGGAGGGGAGAAAAAATTGTTTCTGATAATTGTAAATGTATTAGGACATCCGAAGGGGGTAGGGGAGTTAACTTCCAATTTCCTCTGTGGGGGTGGTATGGATGTTTTCTGGAATAACCCATTCAGAGGTTTACATATGGTATTCATCTGCCCAACATAGTATGTCAGAGTTATATAAATTCCACAGCCATTAGAGTTGTAGACTTGTAGTTAGGTATTTGTAGGAATGAAGGGTGTCTACGTGCCAGCCAATGCATATTCGCTGCCATTGGCATTGATCAAAATTGTGCCCTGACAATTAACCAATCAAATTGCCGATGATTGATAACATGTACATTTGAGAGCATCTTCAGTGGTGGTATCCCCAGTATTGGAGTAGAGCCCAACTGTTCAGTTAGACATTATTTACGAACTTCCTTATATCTTATATCTGCATAGACTATTTTTGATATATTGTAATGTAAAATGAAACTTTGGGATAGTTAAGAAATACAATTAATCCATTTATAATGGACAAGATTGTCCCCTTAATTGACAAGTAAAATTGCCTGGCATATTACTAGACAGGCTTATAAATGACATACCATATTAATTAACCATTAGGTTGCATTGTGCCCTAGTGCACCCTAGCTACTTTATTATTTTACTCTGTCTAACACCAGACAATTTTACTTGTGAACTGGAGAGCCACTCAGTGCTCAATGGGTTAACATGTTAATGTCTAACTGAACCGTCTGGGCTCTGCTCTACAGTAAATTTCCTTGTAATTGGAGTCTGGGATCTGTGACCCAATACATCTTCAGTGTCTTCATATGGTACTGTCACTATTTTATATGTATAATGGACATTTCTCATTCAGGGTGAATCTGATGTGGACAAGAAATTAATACAAGTTCTTTCGAATGTTCAAATAGCAAGAGTTAAGTGGTGCACTAGCTCTTTCCAGACTTAACTGCATGCCAGAACTAACAATTACTTTTCTCTATAATTTTGTGGGAATGTGTTATTTATATGTATATGTACTACAAACAGCCAAAGAATAACCCATGAGCTCTAGTTTTAATTTTTTAATAATACTGTTAAGTATTACATGTAACTTGATTGTACAGTTAGGTTTTAATATTATTTACTGCTAATGGGTCATTCCAGAAAACATCCATACCACCCCCACAGAGGAAATTACGTACATTTACTATTATCAGAAACAATTTTTTCTCCCCTCCCCCTCCGGACGGTAGAAATTTCCTCCGTGGGGGGAGTGTGGATCTTTTCTGGAACGTCCCAATTGGATAATTATTCTTTAACCATGCAAGTTGAATTAAAATAAATAATATACAAAATCAAGCAAATTTTTGTCTTTAATTAATTTTGAAACAATTAATACATGTTTCTTGGAGGTTCACTAACAACAGTGGCATGAACTCATTGTGGGAGCATTCTGCAATAAGCAAGAATAGATTATAGCCATAGGGTCTATCAATATGGAAGCCAGGCTGGCCTGGTTGGCAGAACTATTTATTATTTCCAGATTAATTTCCTTGCCGACACATTTCTATTGTTTTGACAATATTTCCATGACCAATGTTGTATTGACTTTACTTTGACCAGGTCAATCCAGTTAGTGTTTATATCCATAAAATATCTTCCCGGTGTAATTGAGAGCTTGCCTTGTTCAGGTGAGATCTGAAAACTGAGCCAGTCAGGTTGTCCATACAATTTGAAAGGAATTTCCACTATAAAAATAACCACACAGTGAGACCTTGCTTACTGGCCTAGGGCTAGCTGTCACATTAGCCCCTACCTCAGGAACACCAGAAATATGCCAGCAGTTGAGTCAATTAACCCAATACTTATAGGGATGAGGCAAACAAGTTAATGCATGGCCTTTTAAAGATACATACAACAAACTATCAGAGAGCACACAATATACATGCAAACTTGGGCAAAACATATGCATTTTCAGATCAGCTGAGCTTTTTCCAGCACCAGTTCTGAGCTCATGCATGAAAAAACCCGGTCTTGGCTAAATCTATAAAACCTTACTTCCCTCTTTAATATACTAGCACATCATAGTTTCATGTCAACTCAAATATTTGTCAAATTCATATATAACCATTAATTCCTTGGGATTGAGGGATGAAATTATTATATTTTAAAATTAAAAGATTCGTCTACAACCACATTATAAATACTCGTGGCTTATTTTCTAAAAAATAGAGTACATTCTACCATTTATTCCTAACATTTTTTCATGAAATATTTAAAATAGTAATGTGAATTTTGAAAAATGTATAAATACATGTTTATAGTCTGATAAATACGGATGTTTGTTCTGGCTTGAAGTATCGTTTTTGCCCACATTTCGCGAGGTTTTAATAGTTGTTTGTTGTCTTTCACGCTCCACGGACGAGAATTAACGTGTACAGCTTCCACATCTTTGAACAAATTGTCAACAGGCGAAAAAATATGTCGAAAATATCAAAACAACAAGGATTCACTGCAAATTTGCAAAAAGCCGAAATATTTTTATAAAAACCAGGGGGGAGTGAAAACTGTGGCGGGCTCATAATTGAGCCTTGTTCAGAGGCAATTACCATGAATTTAGGGACCAGTAGTCATGGAAATGGCGTCATTTTTCATCAAAATCCGCCATTTTTTTGGCGACACTTCGTTGACTGAACGAAGTATAGGAGCAGGTCCTCCAGTTATTATACAGCTCAGTGGGAAATTCGCGCGGTGCCGGGAGTGGGAATTGTTTTTTTCAACAAAGTTTGCAAAAACAATTCTATCCAGACTTGAAGTGGAAAAAAAGACGGAGATAATGGAAAAAAACCCATTCCCGTGGGTTTTTTTACGAAGAGCAATAGTTCTGAACAGAATATATAGAGAAATCGTTGTTTCAAAATACATTTTCAACGTTGTTGTGCAAGCCAAAACAAAACACGAACAATCAAGACAAACTGAAACTCAAGAGGTATGTTTTAAAAAATATATTTCAACTGTTTTATAATATAAATAGAGTTCAATAATCTTTTTAAACTTACACAACTACTTTTTATACTTTTTTATACGAGGCAACGCTTTTGAAACCATATGTTTTCGACGATCATTTAGGCGATTTACAGTTTTAAATATCAACAACTAAATATTTTTGTTTCAAAAACATGAAAACACTTCGTTTAGATTGAAGAAAAACAAAACCCGACGAAGAATGAACTATCATCTCGTAATTTTATAAAGTATTAGCAAAACAGTTACGTTCAGAGCTTGCAAAAATGTTTTATGAGTAAGTTATATTTTATACGCGAAACTACATGAAAAAACTACTTGTTGGCCTTTATACAAGGCTGCACGATTTTCACCGTTTTTGTAACGGCACATTTGCTTTGAGCCTTTAAAGAACTTAATATTTCAAATTCTATCCCCAAACTACAAATACCAAACGTTTTGACGATGAAAACTTTATAGTTTTAGTTTTGTTTATACTTTGTAGTTTGCACTCCTACTCAAATTCAACATGGCGGATTTATAAGGGCATTTTTGTTTTCAGTTTGGACACCGGTCACGTGACCAAGCACGCATTCTAGGTCTAATATTTCTATGATCTAATCTCAGTAGTTCTTATACCAGCCAGATTGGAATGTAAATCTAATCTCAACAGTTCTTATACTACCCAGATTGGAATTTAATTCTTATCTCAGTAGTTCTTATACCAGCCAGGTTGGAATGTAAAGGTAATCTCAACAGTTTTAATACAATAAGCCACATTGGAATGTAAATCTAATTTCAATAGTTCTTATACCAACCAGATTGGAATTTGATTCTTATCTCAACAGCTATAATTCTTATACTAGCCAGATTGGAATTTAATTCTAATCTCACTAGTTCTTATTCTAGCCAAATTGGAATGTAATTCTAATCCCAACAGTTTTAATATTAGCCAGATTGAAATGTAAATCTAATCACAGCTGTTCTTATACTACCCAGATTGGAATTTTATTATAATCTCAACAGTTCTTATACTGGCCAGATTAGAAGAGAATTTAATTCTAATCTCAGTAGTTCTTATACTTGCCAGATTGCAATTTGATTCTAATCTCAACAAGTCTAATATCCTACCCGGATTAGAATTTGATTCTAATCTCAACATTTCTTATACTAGCCAGATTGGAATGTAAATCTAATCTCAGTAGTTCTTATTCCAGCCAGATTGGAATGTAAACCTAATCTCAACCGTTCATATACTAGCCAGATTGGAACTTAATTCTAATCTCAGTAGTTCTTATACTAGCCAGATTGGAATTTAAATGTAATCTCAACAGTTTTAATACAATGAGCCAGGTTGGAATGTAAATCTAATCTCAGTAGTTCCTATACCATACCCTTGTAGATTCCGACATATTTATAACCTATTTTATACCAATTTTGTTTCGATTTATCCCTATGTTTTCCGTATTTTTTCAAAAATATGACTATTTTATTACTATTTATCAAATTTCATAAAATAGTATATGACTTTTTACAGCCTATTTAAAACATAAGGTTTTTTATATTTTTCAAAAAATAGCTTTGAAATAGATATTCAAATCCTATTTGAAAGAGTAATTGACGGAATCTCACTATAAAATAGCTTTTAAATAGCTATTTAATTCCTATTGTTGACAAACGAGTCAGTTAAAATAGTTTAAATAGCTATACTTTTGAACTATTTTGCTTATCTTCTTTGGAGCCATTCTTAACATAATTATTAAATAGCAAAATAAATAGATCTTGAATTGCTATTTAATTCCTATTCATAGAAAGTTGGGGCGAACTTTGTTCAAAATAGCTGTAAAATAGCTATTTTTAAACTATGTTTGCTTTTATTTTTGGAGATGTTATTGAGTATTGTTAAAATAGTTATTAAATAGGAAAATAAATATATCTTAAATAGCTATTTAATTCCTATTCATAGAAAGTTGTGGCATATTTGTTCAAAATAGCTATTAAATAGCTATTTTTAAACTACGTTTTCTTTTATTTTTTTATTTTTTAGTGCCATTCTTAGAACAGTTATTAAATAGCAAAATAAATAGATCTTAAATAGTTATTTAATTCCTATTCGTAGAAAATTGTGGCGAATTTTGTTCAAAGTGGCTATTAAATAGCTATTTTTAAACTATTTTTACTTTTATTTTTACTTTTATTTTTAGAGCTATTGTTATAATAGCTAATAAATAGCACAGTGGCTTTTTTAAGGAATTTTCACTGGGGCGGGGGGGGGGGGCAGGTAAAAGGCAGAACGAAAAATATGACCCATCAAAGTTTGGAGAACGCGCGAGTCTGAAGAGAGATTTTGTAAAACTTTAATTTATTAACTTCACCTATATAAACAATAACTTCAACCCTTGGTAGCTATAGTCGTACAGCTATAACCAGTGGCGTAGCCAGACCTTAATTTTTTTTTGGGGGGGAGCGAACCTCACGCCGAAGGCGTGAGTCCGTTTAGGAGGGGCCGGGGGCATGCACCCCCGGGGGAATTTTGAAATCTAGGGTCCCTGAATTGCGATTTCAAGGATTTTTGGAGTGAAATTCCAAAGAGTTTGGAAGATTTTAAAGTACATCGAAGACATAAATTTTTCCAGACATTTCTACTCGGAATTAAATAAATTGAAAAAGTCACCTTGAAAATTTTTTTAGTAAAAACTTTCCGCTCGAAATGGCTCAAATACAGAGCTTTTATTGAGCGAAAGTGTCATTTATTTTAAATATAAAACATCAGGGATGACTGGGTAACATCCAGGTAACAATTTTGTTATGTTTTATATATAAATAGAGCAATTAATTTTGAAAGGAAATATTTGCTATTTTCATTCGTGAATTTTGAGCACATGTTCCGGCTTAAAACTTCAATTTGCTGCGACAATATTTGAATTAAAACAACATTAGTTTTATAGAAGGCTTACATTTGACTCAGCCTTTATATTTATAAATGATGTTTATTGTAATGCCGAATAGTAACTTTGATCTTTTAGGGCCCTCATTGATACCAGTGATATATTACTGAAGAGGTTATATCCTACGAAAATAAATTTGATTTGATTTGATTTGATTTATACTATAGTGTATATGACAGATTGCCAGATTCCAGTGTTTGTTGTATAAAATAATATAGGCTGACATGATGGCATCTACTCAATTCTCATATGCCTACCCAGGCATGTCCCAGCTAAACATGGCTTGAGAAAATTTATCGACTGGTTTCAAATTAACTGGTACTTTCATAAGTTTCCAATATTTATTCATATAAAAAATACCAATTTGATGTGTTGTTGTCATATGTGGCAACTTGATTATAGATGTGTCCCTAACTGGAAACAGTTAAAATCCTTAGTTTGCCTGTTCAAACTTATGAATACATTTAGTTACACCACATGTCTTCGTGATCTGCTTGATAATATATGTAACAACCTTTCGGATACATTTTATATATTTTAGAGACACCCCGACAAGGGATTCATTGTTTTTCGAATTACCCATTTCACTCCAAAGAGCCCAATATTCAGCACTTTGTTATTAAATGTTATCTTGCCTAATGCCGGACAATTTAATTCGTCAAGGGAAGTGTCTAGCTAGCGTACTAGACTCTGCCCATGTTTCATGTTGACATATAACACTTCCTACTTAAGTACTTTGATATTATTATTTAACTCTGACATTTCATCCTACGCTCTAAAAACAGGTGTGTTCAATTACACACCAAGGTGTGTTTAATTACACACCAAC